CCTGCTCCTGATATCTTTAAATTACAGGTGAATTTTACTTGAATCTATCGAAAATGCAAGAAATCCCTACACAAGCATACAAGCCTATTCTCTGCTACATTGGTCAAGAAATCACTAGACAATCATGCAAACCTTCTCTCTTCTACATTGTTGGATTTGATGTTAGTTAAATGTGCTATTTATATAATTAAGATTATCTATGTTATCCTCATTACTCGTATGACCTCAAGGCGGTGAGAATTTCCGCTACACATCAAAATCAAACAAGACCTTACAAAAAATGCAGATAACTGAATTAATTCTTTATTTTGGTGAACAAGACTACCAACTAGATGCAGAGGATGAGCTTCTTCATCAATATTAATAGAATTGGCCATTCATGCTCTAACAGGTATAGATGAAGTCAAGTACACCTTCACATTATGGGTGTTGACAGCATATCTAGTCAATATTCGTATTGCATACAAAAAGGTGATATACTAACATAACAGGACATTCAGAAATTCGACAGGGAAGGAATCCAAGATCCTTAGCTTGCTTGTTTTCAAGATTGTAAGACACCAGACAATTTTTGTGATTTAGTCGCAGAATTTTGCCGTTCCTTCGAAAGCCTACCTCACTTCAATCATTCACATTCCCATCCAAAAAACGAAATGTAAATCACTTTGTCCAAGTTCCCACTTTGCTACACCCCATTGTCCACACATCACACTGATAAATTTTACCCTCCCAAAAATTATAAAGATAGAGTGATTCCCCCAATACCGCAATTTCTGGTAGTCCATGCTGACTACCATCTGGCAGCATTGTCTCTCTAAAAAATTCATCACACAAATCGAATTGCAAAAGGGTATAAAGAGAGTTCTCACTTTTCCCATTCTCATCTGCAATCAACTAGGCAGCTCCATTCATGATTTCAGGTTGGGCACCAATCCAAATCCTACATGAAGGGGAGGCAACACTAGTAATTCTTCTCCAAGAATCTGTGCTTAGACTATAAACATTTGTTGAAATATCTTTATTATTATTATTATTAGCCTTTTATTAGGTGTTTTATATAAGATCCCTATAATCATGGGATCACGTAGATAAGATCCCTGTAATTATGGGATCCCGTAGATAAGATCCCCATAATCATGGCATCACGTAGATTTTGGCAAATTTTCAGTCTTTCTTTGATTTGGATTCCTTTCTTTGTGCCCTATTCTTGTATATAAATATAGATCTTGGCTCTCGGTTTAAGTAAGCCAAAACCCAAAACTTCTTCTTTTTGGTATCAGAGCAAAACAAAAACATTCGCCTCCCCTTCTTCTTACCCAACGCCACCACCATCTCTCTCCCTCTCTCCATTTTCCCTCACCTCCGGCGCACCTCCATCTCCTCCCACCCCTTGCGCTGGACCCCTCGGGTAAGCATCTGTTTTTGACTCCTTTTAGGGGAATTCCCTTGCGTTTTTTTATGATCTAAGGGTCCTTCTAGTGTTTTTTTTTTTCTTTGTGGGCTGCCGGTGTTTGTTCAGCAGCATATTCGGAGGAAAGCGCCAATTTTTCCGGCCTTGTTTTTCCCTTTCCTCCTCCTTCGACGTGTGAACCAGCCTTAGTTTGATACTATGAGTGATTCTTGTAGACAAAATGACACTTTATCTTCGGGCCATGGCCGCACTACCGCAATAGCTGATACTATTGGTGGGTATACTACTCCACAGATTGTTGTCCCTCCTGCTTCAACTCCTTCCAGACCATCTTTTCAGGACTTCAAACAGTTACAGTCCCAGATTGGTCAGGAGCAGTTCGGAGCCTTATCTACCAGGCCGGCACTTCTACTCCCACGACTACTATAGCTACAGGTACTCCTTCTGATTATCATGTTAAAGCGGGAAAACCTACTTAGGTTCTGAATTCCAGAGCCAATGATCACATGACTGGTGAGTTGTAATTATTTTCTACTCCCATTACCCCTGTTAATCAAGCTATTAGTCAAGCCGATGGGTCAACCAACCACCATTATTCGTAGCAAAGGAAATGTTCATCTATCCCCCTAATATTATTTTGCTATCTGTTTTTTATGTTCCAAACTTTGCATTTAATCTTCTATCGGTTAGCAAACTTGCCAAATCACTAAATTATGCAATGATTTTCTTTCATCATTACTGTCTTTTAAAGGACCTGTGTTCGAAAAGGATTTTTGCCAGGGTATATGAGCACGATAGCCTCTACTACTTTAGGGATCTTCCACTGACAACTCCTCCACTTGCTTCAAGCCTTCAATCCTCTGTTCTTCCAGTTTTCAGGCCTTATGATTTTTCTTTTCAAACTTTAAGTTTATGGCATGCTCGCCTTGGGGATGTAAACTTTCAGTATTTATGTCTACTTTTCCCTTCATGAATAAGGTTAGGGTTAGCCTGGTGACACTCCGAATTATTATGTAGCGAATGCAAATATGGTGACCACTAAAAACTTGTGTAGAAGGCACTACATACAGGGGCGGAGCTAGGGGTGGGCCAGCAGGGGCATGGCCCCCCTAAACTTTCTTACAAACTTCATTTATGCCTCTAAATATTAATTACTTTGCATATATTACCCCTAAAATTTATTAAAAATTTCAATTCCCCCCTCCCCCCTCTTTTTTCAAAAGACTTGTATATTGACCTAAAATAGAGAATTTGAAAATAAATTTAGTTTGTGTCTCCTTAAAATTTAGTAATTTTTCAACTTGGACTCTTTTAACTATATTTTTAAAAGCTCAAATTTAAAAAATTTTACAATTTGTGTATAAAATTTTCTCACTTTAATTAGAACCTCAAATTTCTGGCTCAGCCCCTGACTACATACAACGATGAAGATAGCTAGAGTTGTCTGAAATCCACTTATACAAATTACAATCTTATGGGTACATACCTAAATGGTGTCCTTGGACATGGAACTCTAGAAGGTTGAGTCTATTTAGACTTGGCAACATCCTAAAGCATACAACACTATATACCTTTTAAAAAATAAAGCTTAAAATCAGTATATTGCACTAGGCTCACTATCTGCATATGATAATTCAACAACATCATATGTAGTTGGAGAATTCACACATTGTATTGCAGACATAAACGAATCAAGTTTCAAATTAATGCTGGCCACTGTATCAGTGAAAAATATCATCGTACTCTCCACGTAAGAATATGCACAGAAGGTCAGAAAATTTGCATTGATTCCTAGATGCTTGGTCTCAAAATTATAAGATGCTAGATCATTCTTGAGGTTTAGTTGTAGGCTTGTAGCAGTTCACAGCTCTTTCTCAAGCCTAGTAGCTTCAAAGATATGTCCCAGAAATTAATAAATAGTTGTAAATCATTTTGTCCACGAACTCATTTTGCCACACCACACTCCATTGTCCATAACATGCACTCCCATCCAAATTACAAATTCCGAAAAACTACAGTGATTCCCCCAAAACTGGGGTTTATGGATAACAGTATTGAGCAGCATTACCTCCTCAAAAACTTCATAACCCATTTCGAAACGTACAAGTAAATAACAAACCAAAACCCTCATCAGTTTTCTTCATTCCAATCCAATATGCCACTCCATTCACAATTGCATGCAGGTCTCATACCAGCAAAATAACATGAAGGGGCAACATCAATTCTTCTCCAAGAGTCGGTGCTTAGACTATAAACATCCGTATGATCTGATTTTTGTAGGGTATGTGCATCTCATGACCCATGCACAAAATCCTCACAATCTTGTAGTCATCAACTCCGGGGTGGAACCCAAACACAAGATAGGTAGTCCTATGATGATCCAAATTGGAGGAGTTGATAAATAGAGAATTAGGGAGGGTCTTTACTACAAGCATTAGCTGCCAGCAGTGCCTATATGTCCTGAACTTGCCAAAGCCAGAGTTGCCGACTATACCAAAGTCAGAAGCACAAAAACTGCCTGAGAAGATGATTCCAGCAATTCTGTCGGTAAGGTATGTTTTAAGGCCCTGCTCCTGATATGTTAAAATTACAGTGACTTTCATTTAAATATACCAAAAATGCAAGAAATCACTAGACAAGCATACAAGCCTATTCTCTGATACATTGGTCAAGAAATCTCTAGACAAACATACAAACCTTTTCTCTGCTACATTGGATTTGATGCTAGTTCATTGTGTTCTTTATATAATTAAGATTATCTATGTTATCCTCATTACTTGTATGACATCGGGGCTGTTGGAATTTCCACTGCACATCAAAATGAAACAATTAAGACCTTCCAAAAATGTAGATAACTGTATTAATTCATGCTCCAAGAGGTGTTGACAGAATATCTATTCAAAAAGGAGGTGTTGACAGCATATCTAGTCTATTGCATACAAAAAGGAGTGCTTCTTTCATGTGCCCCTGCATGCCTTTGATTGCTTAGGATTGTCATTTTATAGTCTTTTTTGTAGTCTTTTGTTAGCGAGTGAGAAGTGTACGAGACGGTACAAGATCGAAAAATGAAGCCAATATTAATATACAGCAGAACAGGAAATGAGTTTTGCACTTTGGTGCAGCCCTGGCAGGCAACATGCCACCTGCATCTGGTATTTCAGCTAATATGAAGGTAACTTGGAGAACTAAAAAGTTAACATTACACAACCTACTTTTAATTTGCAGACATAACAGCCCAATCTTCAAGTTCATATTGTTCTACCGTAGCAATGGCAATAGATTATCATTCAAAAAGGAATCTGATGCAAATTTAATTTTCAAATTAAATCAATATATTTGAACTCCAAAAAAAATAATAAATAATAAAAATAACAAAACAACAGTAGCAATGAACACAAGTCTAATCATATGACAAGATGAGTAAATAACTTATCTCACACCTCTTCTTCTTATCGTTTCTTGGTTTCTTTAATTTTTTAATATTGATGCCACCCCTGAAAATCCAGCCGCTTCTTGAGATGTTGGTTTGCTAGTGAATTGTTGCATCATAAAAATCTGCCAGGTCACAATGCACGTCAATTTCTGTTGATCATGTGGAATAAGAATCTTCCTTAGGAAGTAGAATAAGGCTCTCCACATAAGAATGTAAAAATGAAATTCGACAGGCATGGAATCCAAGATCTTCAGCTTGCTTGTTCTCAAGATTGTAAGACACCAGACAATTTTTGTGATTTAGTCGCAGAATCTCACCGTTCCTTCTAAAGCCTATCTTACTCCAATCATTCACATTGGCATCCGAAAAACGAAATGTAAATCGTTTTGTCCAAGTTCCCACTTTGCTACACTCCATTGTCCACACATCACACTGATAAGTTTTAGCCCCCCAAAAATTATAAAGATAGAGTGATTCCCCCAATACCGCAATTTCTGGTAGTATATGCCGAGCACCATCTGGCAGTATTATCTCTCTAAAAACTTCGTCACCCAAATCGAATTGCAAAAGGGTATAAAGAGAGTTCTCACTTTTCATATTCACAGATGCAATCCAATAGGCAGCTCCATTCATGATTTCAGGTAGGGCACCAATCCAAATCTTACATGAAGGGGAGGCAACACTAATTCTTCTCCAAGAATCTGTGCTTAGACTATAAACATTAACTATGAACAAACTATTCTTATCTAATTTTGGTGGGAAGCAAATAATCTCCACTACCTTGTAGTCATTACCACGGTAATCGAAGCCAAAGGCCACATAGACACTATAAAAAGCACCCAAAGTGGGATCAAGACTTGGAGGTTCGGGGAGGGTTTTCATTCTTCTAAGTGCTGGGTTCCATAAATATATGGGCCATCCCAATCTTGATGCAAATATCGGTCTCCCAGACAAGCATACTAAACCATTACAAGACCCACATACAGATAAGTAACTGATATGTACTGGAAGCTCCGGTTTAAAATACTCACCAAACGATTCATCATCATAACGAATTGCGTAACGCCAGTGACTGTAAATGTCACAACCAGGTTTGTACCCAAAGAGGAAGAGAGAACTGTAGATGTTGTTGCTCGGGCTTGTTTGATGTTTGAGATGTGACTCAATGAAGCTACGATCAGTGATTAGAGAGTACCATGATTTGCAGATTGACCTCACTTGCACTAGTGATTTTACCGGCAATCTAACAAAGATTTGAATCAGGATTTCTTCAGGGAGAGCCAAAAGATTAGATCTTGACGATACTCTTCTTTTCCCCCTTGCCATTATGTCTAAGCTTTCGCAGTTAAACCCTAGCTAGGTTATTTAAAAACTTGCGCCCTTTCAAAACAATTTTCGACAAATAAGGTTAGGCTGGGTATAGGACATGATTCGTGTATCCTATAATTCGGGTATAATTTGATAACGATATCGAATTCTAAAAAGAAACAAATATATAAATAAAGAAAAAGACAAACATATAAATAAAGGAAGGAAAGGATTAAAACTATTTTAAATTAATTTGTCTCTACGTTTACGACAAATATATAATAAATAAAGAGGATAAAGAAAAAGATTATACTACACATTATAAAACCTAGAGTGACTATTAAAGAGAATAAAAGCATGAAAATAAGTGCATGTCAGTAAACTTTCTGAGTGTTTCATTTTATTTCTTCCTATTTTTAAAAAATAACAAAACTTTTCATCATACTTAATTTGTACCCTCCAAATTTTTTTTTTCGGAGTTTCATCTCATTTCTCCCAAGTTGGGTCAAAAATAAATAAATAAATAAATAATTTGAAAACTGTTATATTTCTCTTTGAACATTTTTTTTTTTACCTAAATTTTCTTAAAACAGTTTTAAAAAATTTGTCAACTAACAAATTTTATTTTTTTACTCTTTTAAAATTTTTAGTAACTCTTTATTTTTCTGGTAATTATATATACATGGTTTGTTATTAATTAGACAATGATATATTATTGTTTAATATTGGATTAGACTCTAATGGTGAAATATTAGATACGAGAGTATCAACCTCAAAGTTATTTAAAACAATCTGATGTGGACTAAACCACGTCATGTTTTTTTTTATTTTTTAATTGGTACTCTCGTACACATATTTTCACTGAGGCTCTCCTAACCTCCTTTGAAAAGTAGGAATTTGATACTGCTAGACCACTTATTTGTTGGTAAACCACGTCATGTTTGGTGTCACATTTGGTGATAAACATTGTATATTATTCTTATAGAGTATTTTTTTTAATTAGGAAGCATGGATAGTTAAACAAAATTCTAATACAAAATTATGACTTTCTGTCTCAAAAAGTAATAAATATGATTTTTATATATATAGATTTTATTATTTCATAATAATATATTTAAAGGGTTAATTTCATTAAATTAATAAGAAACCCTAAATTTTGATTTCAAATATAGAAACGGGAACTTTTATAATCAGACAGTCTTGTGGGATTCAATGCTCAAATTGTAAGTTATTTGTCACTTAAATATGTTTTGTAATAGTCCTAGTCGTCATATACCAAATCTATTGTATAGCATAAAAACCAAGCCACACAGAAAGCTATTCTGAATAAGGGTTAATTCCAAACAAAAAAAAAAAATACCCCAACTCCCAGTAAAATAAAAATTCTCTTGAACTAACAGAACTTAAGTTATTCCAAATCCGTCACCTAGTCATTAAATAGGTTGTGAAATGTTAAAATTTAATGTTATTATTTAATATTAAATTAAAATTTATAATTATTATTTTAAATTACAAAATACTACAAAGTGTTTACAAAAATATTAATTAAAAGCTATTGAATTAAATTTGACTTGCTTAGGAAGTCACAGTACTGAATGATAATGTACTCATGAGTTAAATTCGTAGTATAAAATTTTGTTTATAGAAAAAGATGGGCAAACCATACATCAGCAGATGATGCAGTATAATAGAAAAGAATCAAGACATTAGTGTTAACTTATGAATAGATTTTATTTTTATTTTAATAATTTTAAAAGGAGATAATGCATTAATTGTATATTTGTATGTCGAGACAGTCATGCTAGGTGTCTCGCACACCTTGCTTCTTGATTGGTGAAGTTGGGCAAGGAGAAATTATTATACCGTGCTAGATTACATGATCCCACCCAGTCTGACTTCTTGATTGATTGATGAGTATTGTACTCGTGAGTTAAATTTGTAATATAAGATTTGCAATTACTTTGGAAGTCACAGTAGTGAAAGGTAATGAACTCATGAATTAAATTTATTCCATAAGATTTTGTTTATAGAAAAAGATGGGACAACCATACATCAGCAGCTGATGCAGTACAACAATTAACAGAAAAGGATCAAAATCACTTATGAATAGATTTTATTTTTTATTTTATAATTTACAACTTGTGTACAAATTTTATTTTTTTATGTATAGTAACACAACTTGTTCTTAAAAGGAAATTGTGTAGGTCAAATGGATGAGAAGTTGAACACCACAACTTTTAATGACAGCATTAAGCTTCCAGCAGGGCCTGCATGTCCTGACCTTGCCAAAGCCTGAGTTGCCGACTATACCAAAGTCAGAAGCCACTTGCATCTAGCTGCTATTTCAGCAATATAAAGGTAACTTGGACAGCCAAAAAGTTTAACATTACACAACCTTCAAATTGATGCTGTTCAACCATAGCAATGGCAATACATTATCACTAAAGAAAGAATCTCCTGCAAATTTAATTTTCAAACTACATCTGCCACTAAATCAATGTATATTTTAACTGGAGAAAAAAAAAAAAAAAAAAAAAAAAAACACACAGCAGCAGCGGAACACAAATCTAATAATTAGACAAGATGAGTAAATAACTTATCTCACCTCTTCTTCTTATCATTTCTTGATTTCTGTACATTAATGGCACCCCTCAAAATCCAGCTGCTTCTTATGATGTAGTGTTGCTAGTGAATTCCTGCATCACAAAAATCTGCTAGGTCACAATGTCTATTTCTGTTACGATGTGGAATAAGAACCAAATAGAATTAGACTCTCCACATAAGAATGTAAACACGAAAGCATGGACTCCAAGTTCCTTAGCTTGCTGATTCTGAAGATTATAAGACACCAGATTGTTTTGGGGATTTACTTGCAGAATTTCGCCGTTTCTTCTAAAGCCTATCTGCCTGAAATTCAGATCCGAAAATTTAAAAGTAAATCGTTTTGTCCAAGTTCCCACTTTGCTACCCTCCAGTAATGTCCATACATCACACTCAGAAAATTTAGTCCGACCAAAATTATAACGATAGAGTGAATCCCCCAATACAGCAATTTGTGGTTGCCAATGCTGAGCACCATCTGGCAGCATTATCTCTCCAAAAACTTCATTACCATGATTTCAGGTTGGCAACCACAAAACAAACATGAAGGGGAAGCAACACTAATTCTTCTCCAATTTTGCTGTTGTTAGGTTGCTCTTGATCATGAGGAATTTACATATGACATATGAGTATTACTTTTGCTTCCCAAATCCCAAATGTTCAAATGACATGATCTGTAAATCAAAGCTTAATACCCTTTGGCTTGTATATGTCCTGAAGCACTTGTCGTCAGCCCAGCAATGGCTCATAAACAACATTGTTATGACAGTAACTTTTGCCACCAACTATAAACAGCCATGCCTAAGCGTGAATTGCCACCACTTTCTCATGTCCCAAAACTACCACAAGCCTGAGCAGCCTGAATTGCCTAAATGTTCGGAACTTGCTAAAGCCTGAGTTGCCGACTATGCCAAAGTCAAAAGCGGAAAAAAAAACCTGAGTAGATGATTCATGCAATTCTGTTGGTAAGTTGGCATTGCCCTGCTCTTGATTATGTTTAAATTACATGTGACTTTCATTTTAGTAACGATAATGCAAGAAATCACTACACAATCATACAAGCCTATTCTCTGCTACACAAAAATCACTAGACAAACATGCCAGCCTTTTCTCCACTACACTGGATTTGATGCAAGTTCATTATGCTCTTTATATCAGGGCTGCCTACACATCAAAAATCAAACAAGACCTTACAAAAAATGCAGATAACTGGATTAATCATTTATTTTGGTGAACAAGACCACCAACTAGATGCAGAGGATAAGCTTCTTCATCTATATTAATAGAATTGGCCATTCATGCTCCAAGATGTATAGATGAAGTCAAGTACACCTTCACATTAAAGGTGTTGACAGCATATCTAGTCAATATATGTATGGCATACAAAAAGGTAATACACATAACAGAAAATTCAGTACACCCTTAAAATCCTTCTTTAGTTCTTTTTGTCCTGACTGGCAACATGCCACCTGCATATGATATTTCAGTTTAGCCTCGTACGCCTAGTGTAGGTTTTTAGGATAGCCTTAGGGCGGTCTGCATCATCTCTCTTATTTTCAGGAGCAGTAGAAATAGTCGGAGGTGTATGCTCAGGACCACCGGGTTGGTTAGTGGCAGCACTCATTGGTGTGGAGTATTTCTGGCTGTTTTCGCTGGTACTCATTGGTGTAGAGCTCTGTTCATTGTTGGCTGAATCTGTTGAAAACGTTTTCTTTCCTGTCCTTGCCTCAGCGCCAAAATCTCTCCCAGCAGTACTAACGGTTGCAAACTCAAGCTCAGGATCCCCAGGTTGGTTGCTGGCATTCACTGGTGTGAATTCTTTTTGTTCTCCACTCATCCCATCAGGGGAAGCTATTTCCTGACATATTGGGTTGAGTCTGTCTAATCCGGCTAAAGTCACAAGCGATTTACAATAAGCCTCGAGGATCTCCTCCTTTTCTGAATTCATGCTATCATCTGAATATGTGTTCGCCATTAAATTTGACTCAATCCGCATCAATCCTTCTGTCAAGGATTCACCATTGCTTTGTTCGTTGCTGGCTGAATCTATTGGAGGTGGCAATGATTCTGATTGCTGCTGCAAAATCAGAATCTGCAATACGAGAGCAAGTAAGATTTCACCACTGAGGCACATTTCAGATAATTATTCAAACAGAAGTTAATGGATGCTTGCCTTCTTTTCAAATTCACTTGAGAGCAACTGGAGCATCAAAACCTCCTCTTTCTTCGGAAGAGAGAGACCAACATCTACAGGTACACTAGAAGGTGCCTGATTCACATCCGCAAGTCCTTCATCAGTGAGCCTCTCAATCCGAGCCGTGCATACTGATATAGCCTCCTTGCAATAGTCAATGGCCTTATAAATCCTGTTGCATTTTGCCATACACAGAAATAGTTTGAAATTTCTGAGTGCTTCA